CTCGTAGCTCATAAGACCTTATCCGGTCATAAACAGATGACATTGACATTCTGGGTCCTACACCTCCCATCCAATCGTTTGCAATCGATCGAGTTGTCTTAAGCGACGTTCTTCGCGATCTGTAGTCCTGCGGGGACGTCCAGATCCAGGACGACGTCGTTACACCCCTTCCTCGAACCATTTACACCAACATCTCACTACCGTTGTAACATTTCGGTTTACACGATGAGCAATTTCTCTTAGCGAAAGTCCGACCTTTCTTATGCCAATAACATAGCCACGTTCAAAATCAGTCAATTGGGAAAAATGTTGATGTTGACGTACTCTTGGCATTGTTTCCAAGTTCAGAACGAAATTGTGAACAATAATTTGCAAACCTAACAGTTAATTACACACTGATTTGTTTATTTCTTCAAATTTATTGTTACTATTGTAAGTGCAAAGGAAAAAAAAGAACTAAACTACTAGCTAGTTTTTATTTAATCGTTTGTTTGTTCTAATGAAAGACATCGTTGTCGAAAATTACAATAAACGTTCAACAAATTCTAGGTGTTGCAATTTTTATGGAAGTAAGTATATATTTGAGTATCGTCAGCATACATATGATAATTACAATATTTTAAGCATATAAATCAGGTGCAATAAAGGCACGAGGACTGAACCCTGAGATACACCCGTCACAACACTTAAAAAATCTGAGTATGAATCATTATGGGTCACGCACTGAAATCGATTACAAAGGTAACATTGGAGCAAAGAGATGGCTGAATCAGATAACCGTATATAATGTAAGATCGAAAATAAAGTTTCGTGATGTAACGTGTCGACTGCTTTTGAAAAATCCAATAAGACAAGTGCATTGAGACATCCATCGTCTGCTCTCCTCAATATATTGTTAGTGACATCCAGAAGTATAGTGGTGCAATTAAAGCCAGGGTGGAACCTAGATTGTTTAGGTGGGAAGATATTCTTTTCGATTACAAAAGCTCTTAACCTCTCGGCAATAAGCTTTTTAATAGAACGGTTAAGATACTGATGGGCCTAATATCTTTCAGACCTGAAGAGTTTTTATTTTTTGAGATAGGCATTATCAAAGCAATCTTGCATTGGTCAGGAAGCACGGAAAATTCCAAACAAAAATTCATGATTCAATTCATGACATACGTAACGAAGAATTGTTGGACAACATAGTACTAGCATTTTTTACTAATTTTATCATTACTAATTGATTCAGTTTTAATGCAATCTCCTCTTCTGATATCAAGGAAAAATTTAGAGGTGTAGCGACAGACAACCATGATTCCATTCCATGATTGTTACAGAAATCTTGCAAATCACGATCACCCGAGGAATTAACCTGTGTCGATTGAAAATAACAATTCATTTGATTAGGTGTTCCCAAAGTGTCCGAAATATTTTGAGGTCTGATAGGAGTAACACCCAGGGATTTTCAGCAAATAGGTGTCTAAGAAATGCGCGCTTTTCGCGAACTACCTACTTCCATACTTTTGATTAGATTGAACCGCGGATGTGCGAGTTCTGCAGTCTTGGCGGAAGGAGGGTACTAAAAATTAACCACAGATGAGTGAATACGTAGTTTTTGGAGCCGCGTATACGGGGGCTTTACTGTATAACCAAGCCATGTCTACCACGATCGTATAAATAGACTTAACACGATACTTTTCTAGATTGCAATGTAAATAAAAATAAATTTAGGTATATTAAACATAACGATCAACAAAAAATTGTTGCTTTATGTAGCAGAAAGCTCTTCGTGAAAGCCAACTAGGAGTAAATTCGTACACAGCACGCATCAACCTATCCTTACGCTTCAGCGTTGCCATAAATTTCTCTAAATTCGTGCTGATTTTGTGCCAGCGGCATCATTGGTCCCTATTTCTACGAAAACGTCATATGTGACGCCTTCACCGCCAACGGCAAGTGATACAGATCAAAAATAATCAATTTCTTTTCACCCGAATTGAATAATATGAACGTGGACGATATGCAGGACAGCGGATATTCGGCATAAAGGATTTTAAGATATGATTATCTCTCGTGAATTGGTCACTAAGATCGTGCGATTTGACCCTTGCAGACTTCTATGTGGCGTTTTTTGAATTTCCACGGTATATCAATAAGCCACACTCGACCGATTCCCTCAATGTTAATACAATCCAGATCATCGCTCAAATTCAATCGGATCTATACGGCAAAGTATTGAACAGTGAACTTCTAGAATCCGTGTCACTAAACATAATAAAAAATATGGGCTTATCAAATAAAGCAACAATTTCGGTAATATCTCACACACAGCTTGTTTTCGACCCACTCATATTGGAAAATCTGTTTAGTTTAGTTTAGTATTACCAAACGGTCTTGTAGAATACCTAATTTTTTCATCTAATGTTCTCTCTATTACTGTTATTCTGTGTACCTCTTCACTGTTTGCTCTTCTAACTTTCAATTATGGTCTTTTTAAAAGAAGCTATTAGTATGTAAGATGTTACTTTATGGGGAGATTCTCCTGGTTTGGGTATCATTATGTCTTCAGCCGTCTTCCAGAATTAGGGACCATATCTTAATCTAAAGGCAGTATTCATTAAATATGTTCGTTGATCTCTTTCCTAGGAAACTTTTTCAATACTTTGAAACGTTGCAGTTATTAAAGCAGGCTTTTTTTCGAGTTAATATTTTTAATGTATTTGTTTCTTCTTCTGGAACTGGTATATTCCATTGTGATTCTTCTTCCTGATCTTCATTTGGTTTAAATGTTTGTTCTAACTGTTTTGCATAAAGTTCAGTGTCTTAATAAGAGAGTAATCATGTAGCGATGCATATAGCGAAGCAGTACGATAACAGTATCGTTGGTTACATTTTGGACGTAAGCATTCAAAGATTCATCTTTCGTCGTTCTTATACAATATAGTGTTATCTTTAACAAATATTGTTCTTGTTCTAATTGTATTTCATTATTTACTGGAATAGCTAGGTTAATTTCTTCTCAAGGTTAATCTTGAAACTTTTTGTGCTAATCATTTTGTATATCAGCGTCACATTGTTTTTCCTTTTTTGAGATTATATTATCACTTAATGTTATTAATATCAGTGAGTAATCAGAGTTCATTCGATAAGATTTGATACTTCATATTGATCTGTTAGCCAGTACTATTTGTAATATTGGTTCTTGTTTGTTATTATTTCTGCATATCTGCCTAACTTGATGTACATAAAGAAACTGACAAAAAGAATTTCCAACCTTATTTCGACCTTTGTTTGAAGATACAAAAATTAAAAGAGTTAATAAATAAGAAAACAAAAGTGTAGAAATAAGTTTATAAACTGTGGTTAATAGTTCTCCTAATGCGTTTGCTCTTTTTGTTGAAATTCTAAAGTCAGTGAACGGTTTCGTTCAAGCATGTGAACCTATTTATACTAATCTCAGATATGAGACCGGCGGCACGAGATGTTTACATATCTGTGGCGGTGTATTTACATAAAGAAGTCTCACCTATTACCCTTAGCATTAAGGTAATGTCCATAATGTCCATTACTGGGTACGTTACTGTCCAATATACACTACGCGTCATAAGTAACACTTCCCTGTCTAATTTGAAAATGGTTCAAGATATCGTCATAAGCCGAAGTACATCGATTTCTATTTTTTGTTAACCTAAATAATTTAGCGGAAAAAATTGTTTATCACTTTTAGTTTTTCCGGAATACGGGTCAACTTTGCTTTTTAACTGGAAAAACCCTATATGTTATAATATTTTCTGATAGTGTTAAAAAATACGAATCCAATGATACCACGCAATCAAATATTGGTTAATTAGCTTCTATGTTATTAATTAATAAAAAAGCAACGACATTTTATCATGACAATATCAGATCGTACTATAAATGCCTTTTTTTAAGTTATGATTAAAGTTTATCATTTACCTTATGCAGCCACACTTTCCCATTCAGCTTCAAACCTAACCTTCCCAAAATGATATTTCACCGTTTATTTTTTCTTGCGTTCTACCTCATTAAATCTAATTATTATTGCCTTTTTTCTTCTTCTTTTCTTAGTTTTCAAATGGTACTGTTCATGCATCGTTCGTTTTAGTTTTATCATCATCATCATTCAAACGTTCCAGTCTGATAATTTAACCAGATCTTGATCCGATAACTTTCGTTCTTCGAACTATGAAAGTTAAAGTGTATTGTTTCCAAGAAGAACACAATATTGGTAGTTAGTTTATTGTTATGATAAAGTCTCAATCAAGAATAGTTTTGTTTTATTAATTCAAAAAAAAAGAAATGAAATGCTTTCAATTTTCATTTCTAATGATTGTAATTTATGTCTTCATTTATAATTCATTTAAACAACGTCGAGTTATTTAATTTTAAAAAGACATAGTTGTAACAGGTCGTTAATATAATTTAAATTTTATAACCTCCTGAAAATAGAAGCTTACAACATCACTTTTACCGGTTTTGGTAGGCAATAACTATGCTATGTCAATAGAAACTACCCAATATAAACCGTTTAATTAATTACGAATAGATATCTTGATGGATTTATTCCATGAAGGGAACTGACTAGTTGGTTGTAAATTGTAATGAAAATGCTTTGAACGTTAAATCATTGGAAAGTGTCTCTTTTAAGTCTTAAAATAATTAGAAATCTTTCCGGGTATTTTAAACAGATCGTTAACTTTCAAGTAATATTATTTATTTGATTTTTATGGAATACTTTTCGATTAAAAATGATTTTCTTACAAGTCATTCATTTGTAAACATTGGTGACCTTTACCGTAACGAGTTGCTCAAAACGAACGGTAGTACCCATACCGTCTCATTTGAAACGGAACATTATAAACTTTCACTCTTCTCAAGGTCATATTAGAATCGTTTGTTACCATTTCCTAAACACCATTCAAAAAGCGTGTTTCAGTTACACGTTTCTAATGCTCTTTTAAAAGTTATTTTTTAATTTGTATTTTGTAACTTACCCATTTTTCCTGGACTAATATCAAATTGCGATGGACCATCTTGTACGAAACCGGGTCTTGCGCAAAGATCCTGGAAAATAAAAATGCATGATTCAGTGCGAACAGGAAAAGGTAATTACTCAAACGTGGGTAAACCAGAGTTTATTTTTGAAACCACCTATGGTAATGTTAACTTCTCAACATGTTTACTTCTAAATGTAAATTACTTTAAACGTTTTCTCACATTACGCCCAATACAAGATAAATGTCAACTTATCTTGTAGTAATTTAATAAAATGATTAAAATACTAATTGCAATATAAAGTTGAATTAAAAGAGGTATTTATGTTAATGTAATAAATTAATTATTATTCACCATTGAAAATATCTTAATTTCAGATTACAAAAATAACTATTTAACTAACAAGACTACTCAAATAAAGACTTTATTACCTCCTGACAAATTATGTTAGAAAGACACAGAGGGATTGGTAAGCAATGGAAACCAAATATTTGCTATTTACTAAAAATAATATTGATTTAAACATATAGCTGTTTTTTTGACACAAAGATCAATATAAATAAACTTTTCGAAGCTTTAGGGGCCAGAAATCTACGATAGATCACTAAGAGAAAATCTGAAAAAACCTGCTCGCACAAGGATTTAAAGTAGTCGATGTCGTTAATAAAATCAGAAAAGATAATAACCAAGGACCAACAAAGAAAGTGCCATTAAATCTATTTATGGTTAGCTTCCACAATACAGAAGATATAAAGAAAATATTTGCTATTAGGCAAATACTAAATGCTGTGGTACAGATAGAACCGCTGAGAAGCAATAATTTAATTCCACAATGTCGAAGATGTCAGCGATTTGAGCGTACACAAAAATATTGTAAACATGAATCGCGATGTGTCAGATGGGCTGGTAAACATCTTACTATTGAATGCAAAAAACCTAAAACTGAAAAAGCAAAATACAGTAACTGTTCAGAAGAACATCCAGCTACATATAGAGGACTGCAAAAAAGAAGAAATATTCTTATTAAACAAAATACACAAGAACCTACACAATTTTCTTCCAATATTGTAAGTAAAGAAATATCATGCCCAAACAACATCAGGTAAGCAAGATCAAAACAGAGCTATACTTTCAGCTCATCACACTCCTAATATAACGGAAACAATAACTGAACGTTTACTTAAAGATTTATAAGATAAATTCATTAAGATTGAGAAAAGACTCGAAAACTAGAAAGTATTTACATCAGACCTGCTTCTCTATCCTACAATCCTTCGAGATGTTAGATTTTACAAAATATACTACGTCAACCACCCCAGCAATCAAGCAAGAGGTGGAAGCGCAATAATTATAAGAGAATATATCGAACACCATGAAGTTCCTCTGCAAAAGGAGGAAATACAGATGTGTGTAGTTGGTGTGAAAATCAATAATTAAAATATGACAGTTGCAGATGCATATTTTTCGCCGAGGCACAACAACAAGAAAGAAGATTATAAAAGCTACTTACACTATATTGGAAACAAATTTCTCTTAGGTGGCGATAGATGAAGGATTTCGGGGAAACTTTTATGGGTCAGAGAGCGAAATGAACATATAAGATAAGAATGCAAAGTAGAAAATATTAACCAATGGATACTAAAGAGAAAACAAGAATGGAACTAACACATTAAAAGAATGGCAAGCAATAGACTAGAAAATATATGTGTTTACTGTTTTAATAAATTCGAAAGTTTAGAGAGGCTAATAGACGCGTTTCATAAAGTTTTTACAAAACCAAAAAATGTTCAAATCAATTACTCGGGGCATACATATTTGTAACTATTAAAATAGCTATTAGGGAAAGCGAATTCAAAACTGTTGATTTGGAAACAAAAATTCTTGCATACGAGGTCTATTCACATTTGGCAGGTTAGTAGGAAACCTTTCTCTTCACTAGAAGAACCTTATAATGTCTTATAAATGGCAAGATAATATTTTTCCAGATTGCTGAAATAAATACATCATAGTAAAACACATCCAAGTTTATCCACGAAATAGCAATACAGAACGTTACCTCCTCTAATGAAGACTAAACAAAAATCTTCTTATCTGGAGGATGTTTTTATCCATGCTAAAAGTGTTCAGTTAGTGATACCATTTTTCAATTATGTAATAAAAGATAAATTATGCGAATGTTTGAAGATGTAAACAGCCAAACAGCTTTGCATCTGTCTTTGGAAAAGCTTACTATGCTTTGTAGCAGTGGCACTTTAATAATAGCAATAATATTTATTATCCCAACAGAATTATATAAGATAAGATAATATTATAAAGTAATAAAATTAGACGAGTAAAAATTAAATTAAACAAAGTAAGCATAATAAAAATTTAAATTCAAGAACTTTTAGTAACTCGAAGTTATAAAATGCAATTTAGGGCAATATTTGAAAGAACTCAATTTGGGAGCAATTCTAGGAACTCTGAACTTTAACTAATATACATTATTATTATTTATAACATATATATAACACATATAACACAGGCGCATAAAGCCAGTAATTTTAAACCAAATGACGACAAAAACTGATCATAGTGCAAGCTTTATCACTATAATAACCATACCTAAGATAGTGTAGGTGCTTAATTTATCGTCAATGTATATTTTTAATCAATGTAATGTAAATTATATATGAAAGACACCATATAACTGTGCAGTATTTCAGTTTATTTCATTTCAATTGTCCTTATTTTCTGCTTTGTTCTTCTTTGATTCTGTTTTAGTTTCGGTAGCGTACAATACCGTCTTACCGTAGCTATTTGTATCTTACATCGTATTGGTTCTTTACTTATTACCATAAATTTAGTTTTCTGTTTTGATACCTGCATGTCATATCGTTTGGCGTTGATGTTGAACTGTTGGACTAAGTGTTGCACATGATCCTCGCCATCAATACCATTTCGTTTGTGTAACATATGTTGTTAACGTTAGGTCTACACATTCGATATTCTGCTTTTGGGTAAATAAAATTGTGGATAAATCGATTCATTATCAAATTAAAGAGTAAAGAACAAAAGAAATCATTATTTTCTACACCTATAATTACTTAATTATATTATCAATGGATTTTTATGTCCATTATTAAAAACCTGTACTAAGATTTTATTATATATTAGTTACTCTTATTTATCCATTTGATAATCATTTATAAGCATAAAATATAGTATTAGCTATCAAAAATCTGGGTATGGTTCTTAACAATATCCTTTAATAGTTTTACATAAGAAAACGCTATTAAACATTGTTGCTAGCAAAAAATGCAATAAAATTTTATAATTTGATAAAAATTTATGCATCTTTTAAGGAACTGACGAAAGTTTATTTTTGTTTCCCAATTCTATTGTTACTGTTTTCCCTTTGGATATGCCTTCTGAGGTTCTGTACAGCTTGGCAAAACCATCTTGGTTGGTCAGTAACGCAGAACATGGCAAAAAATCATAACTCCGAAACTTGAAAATTAGAAGAGATGAACTCTAATACCTTAAATACTAAATAAATTGATTTTAAATTGTCTTTTATTTCATGATGATCATGAGACAAATAAAGTTTAGAATAATTAAATATGCCAGATTAAAAAAATCATAATAACGATGTTTTTGGAAAATAAGATAATGTTTATACAACATTTCCTTATTGTTTATTAATGACTTGCCATCCATTATAAAGGAATCTGAATGTCTACTGTTTGCGGAAAAATGTGAAAAAATTACTTTCACTTTAAAAAAAGTACCGATTGGTTGTGAATATTATATCAACAACCATAAACTGAAACACATTGTACAGAAAAAAGATTTAGGAGTAATATATACACAAAGTTTTAACTTTGACGAGCACGTAAAAGCTACAACTGTATCAGCTCTCAGGTTGTTAGGATTTATTATAAAAAACTGTCACTGTTTTTTCAATATTGACACCATAAAGTACCTATATAATTCATTAATTAGATCAAAACTGGTATATGCTGTTGTGGTATGGGACCCTGGAACAGCCTATCATTCGAATATCATTGAGACAGTTCAAAACAAATTTATTAAGTATATTTTCTACAAACAATACAATAAATTTATTGGTTTTCAGTCTTATGAATTCGCTCGGAGATGTTTTGATAGACAAAATTGTCGATCAGACGGGGGGTGATAAGTGTTGGTTATCTGTATAAGACACAAAACAATAAAGTAGATGCTCCATCAATTTTGAGAGGTGTTGGTAACCCCTAAAATGGTAACATTATATAATAAAGTATCAGCAGGAAACTCATATTCCTTGTATTATATAAGAAGTTCAGAAGTAAGTGTTTTATAGCGGTCAACTGATTAAGTGTTGGTTGTTAATTACTGTTTTATATTTCCTGATTTTAGTAGATATTGTTCTAGAGATTTTACTATTAAGCTAGTTGAAACATGTAATTAGGGTAACCTGTTTGTTTCAATAAATAAATAAATAAACATTAAATCTTCATCAAATTTGCTTTAAAATGTTCGTTATTTCATGATGATTTGTTCTTGAGATACGATTTTTTTAATATTTATATTACATATCTAACAATCAAAAATGTAGACTTGGATTAAGAAATTATAACAACGTTAGTTATGGAAAATAAGAAATTATTTATGGTGTATTAAATCTTTATTAAATTTGTTTTAAACTGCTTTTTTTCACAATTTTATTTCATAGGGATATCTCAATTACTTTTTGAGATACATCTAGATTAATTACCCTGACATTTATGTTTAAGGTTATGCAAGGTTGCAATCAAAAAATCATAACTCCGAAATTGAAAATTCGAAGAAATGACCTTCACTATATTAAATACTGTATCTCAATTCAAACAGTCGAGCCGCCCTAAAGGCAATTCAGGCCTACACTGATTAATGATGTCACTCTATGGTGGGTTCCAGGTCTCAAAGACATTGAAGGCAACGAAGTGCCGGACAAGCTGACCAAAGGATCAGCGAGGTCCAATAAAGGGTATTGGACCTCAACCCGGTTGTGAGGTACAAAAAAGGCACTTAAAACAAGTAATCAACAG